CTTTCGGGGCAAGAGGTACAACTGCCTTCTCGGCATTTTCAAGCGCTAAAGCTCTTTTCTCTAAAAATTCAATTAAACAGTTTACCGTAGGTTCCCTATCCCTGTTTAACTCAAACTCTCTGTTACACAATATGTCTAATTTTCTGGTCAGAATGCAAAGTATTATTGGATCCCATTGAATGACATTATGATTTAAATTCTTTAATGCAGCAAGTTGTTGCTTAATATTTGAAACAAAACATCTGATATTATATGCAGTTGATTTTGTCATGGGAACTATGTCTAACAATATATTAATATGTTCATTTGTGATCTTATAAGTATTGTTGTAACGATCCCTTAGTAATTTCCTAGCCTCGCTGTAACTGTTACAAATTATTGGTAGGTTTTTAATTAAGTCTAAGGGTTCATTGCGAAGAAAACTCCTTAAATAAACTAATCTTTGAACATTTTCCAAGTTAATATTATTGTGAACTAATGCATCGAACAAATCACAAAATGGTATGTATTCCGAGTACTTACCAGTAAAAATAGGTACCGATATTTCGGGTAACTTGTGAACACTGTTTTTGGAAAATTGCGGCTGTGACGGACACTTATCACTATTGTATCGCTTCATTATGATGGCGAGTGCATCAATGAATTTCGTTTCTACGGCGTCATTATCATCCGCCGTTGGATCAATGGAACAAATGTCCAAATTTATTTCTTCAAATTTACTAAATGCAGAACGCAAGCGATCCTCTTTAATTTTCAGAGTGTATTGATCGATAATAGTAGTTGCTTCTTGCAACTCTTGCAACGAATTATGATGTTTTGTGATAATGCCCTTCACCGCAGCACGTTTCCTTAACAAGGTAGTTAAATATATTTTAGGATCAGAATTACTTTCTGAATCGTTTTCAGTCATATTGATATTATATACTTAAACTTTACAACTAATTAAAAACAGTTAAAATTATATAAGGACACGTTATGAAGTAAGCAGAACACAATGTAAATGCTAATTAAAATAGCCGACTCGGCTTCCCTTTGCTTCTTCTTTTCGGCTTGAGTGGAAACGGACCAATCTTCAGGCCGGATATAGCACTTTAGCGCTTCAAGCGGCGACTTTAGGAAACTCGGCGGCGAACCGACGAATGGCAACACGTGAAGGCGCTGCACTAGCGCTCCAAGCGGGAACCAGCACAAGCAGACGCGCCAATGAGTGGACAGCAGTAGACAGTAGTGGACACCGAAGATTGCTAAAAATGGCGACTTGCCGGAAATGATTCGACAAAGCAAAATGATGACCACTTTTAGAAAAATTTCTTCTTCTCGATGCTGCTGTCCTTAATATTGATGATGGAGATTTATATTAAATTTAGCACGTATCTCTTTACAATATTCGGTACTTAGCGAATTTGTGAATGTCTTTTGTATGGATTATTGTTGGCGTTATACACACGCGGCGGGAAGAAAACGATTGTATAGGCACGCGATATGTAAAATACTGCACATCAACGATCTGAGACAAATTTATCGCACAAAAACACTCGCGAATTCTTTCCTTTCGAAGGACCATGTACGCAATAAAGAAGTAAACTATATTGGCGCTGGAATATATAATAAAAAATTCGCGTTTAGTACAACGTACGTTTATTCTCCACATTGGTTGGTACAGAAACTAAACCTTTAATACAATGTTGTCACAGGATAAACTTAAAAATTACTAAAATTAAAGTTAAATGTTGGTAATTCCAACAAACAAGCTTACTTGAAAAAATATATTTTCATTTCAATATAATGTCGCTTTTTGTTATTTTGACAGATATTGTAGTTATCAGGTTGGTCTTTTTAGTTGAGATTTATGGTCGATTCTTCTGGTGTGAACGTGTCGATGGTTTGTGACTCGTGGTTATTATCCTTTTTTACCGATTATAGCTAAGTAAAGCTACCTAATACCATTAGCCACTAACCACCAACCCAAGAGGCTCATTGGAAATTCTTGGAAAGATTCTATGATTAATTTTCTTTTATTGAGTTTTAAAGATTAACCTATTTTCTGATTATTTTAAAGTAATATAAATCAAAACCTTCCAACAGGGCCCCATAATCTGTAAGAAATACTTAGATTATACAGATTCATAAACATAAAATCCTATTCACTTATAACCTTTAAAGTGTGTTAGGTAAAAGAGTTAGGTAATTATATTGATATACATAGATAAGTTGTTAAATAATTGTTACTTCCTTTATCTGCCAAGGTTATAAATATATTTAAATTTAAGTATAGATAAAACTGTTATCACTAAAGTGGCAAAACATAATAATAGTACAAAATAAGAAAATTTTTAGTACAGATATGATAAGTTAACTAAGGTTATTAGACAGCCATGGCAAATGCAGATCTGAGAGGAAATTGATGACGCGGCATGGTGCATCCCAGTTGTCCTGAACGTTATCCAGCTGTTGTTTAATGATTCAATGGTTGCCCTTGGTAAAGGTATGTACGGTCGGCCAAGAAAGTGGTCTACCAGTTTTGACAACATTTCCCGTGTCTTTAAAGCATCCCTAAAGGCGAATCTTAGAATTGCATTCAAAGAATAAAAGAGATGCACAATGCTGACGTGTTGTCGTAGAGCACAAATGTTATTTTGACCTTTGCAGCCTATGCATTAGATAATAATTTGCAATAACAAATAGTCTTCACAATGTTTCATAAATTTAAAATTTAAGTAGGTCATTTCAAAATGGAAACTATTTTGTTACGAAAACTCTTTTACTGAAAAAGAATATATCACTTAACAATTCATGTCAAATATTTTCTCGGCATTTTCCGTAGGTATTTTCCTAATTAATTTACACTACAATGCCCCGAAATTTATCCATTAACGAAAGAGCACAAATAATCGCATTACACAATGATGTTTTGAATATTAGTGAGATTTCTAGAGAATTAAATGTGTCGGTAAGTATTATTATGTCTGACGTGAGTTTAATGTAAAATCTCAGACCAAGTCCGAGTGTAAATTTTTTTTTTATTTTTTCTGTTCATATTTTATTTTTGATTATAGAGACAAGCTGTCCGTCTTTGGATAAGACGAGAAAGCGAGGAGGGGAATTTGAGCGCTCGGAGTCGTAGCGGTCGTAGACCTGAAATATCAGATACTCAGCGAGTCTTCATGAGACGGACTTATGAGGAATCTGGCTTTATACCAACGCGTTATTTTGCCGACATATTTGACGTGACTCTCCAAACCATTAGAAACCATTTACGTTGCATGGGCTTACATCACAGACGTTATGCAAAGAAAATTTATATGACTGACGCTCATAGAATTTACTTTTAAATCCAGTCAACACGGGCGTCTACACCTTTGGCGATTCAATAAAACGCGATACACGCAAAATCATGTCGTGCCAAATAGAGAATCGGGTCGTATCTCGGTAAATTTGTATGGATGGATGACTGCTGATGGTGTTGGAGACTTGACCTTTTTGCCACCACGAGCAACGGCATCAGATTATGTTGATGTTCTACAAAATGCTATGTTGCCATCCGTCCGGAACGTTTATACAGAAAATGAAATGCGTCAATTTAATTATTTACAGGATAACTGTCCCTTACATAAAGCAAGGGTAACACGTGCTTGGTTTGATGCACATCCGGAAATAAACTTGATACCATGGCCTGCAAAATCGCCATATCTCAACCCTATTGAAAATATGTGGGGTCTTATGGTTCAGAGATGGTGTAACCGTATTGAACGAACAGCAGAAGCACTACAAGGGCACTGCAATGAGGTTTGGGAGGAAACACGTGGGTATGATATCTGCTCAAGACTGGTGGGCTGGATGAGGGAACGTCTCCAAGCTGTTATAGAGGCAGATGGCGGCTACACAAGATTTTAAGAATTATAATTTTATAAAACAATTGTATATATTTTTTAACAACCAAAGAATTAGCATTTTCACTATCTCTTCTAGTTTTAGCCCTTGTCTCGCACTAAGCTATGGGTCGGCGCAATATGTTTTTCGTCGCTATTCATTTCTGTTATCCGTTATCTCAGTATATTCAGACCTATAACACGCATAGCTTCTTTCGCATAGCATTTCACTACCTTCTGATTTTTTTTATTTGTATTAAAATATAATTAATCTACATTCTAATGTAGGATATTTGTAGACTATAAGACTTTATTTACAATATTCTAACTCTAAAGTATTTAAACATACAAACAGACAGCCAGAAAAAAAAAATTTTGGCTTCTATTAGTCTTATGAAGGCCGTCCGTATATTTTTTTTCCAAAATATCTTACAAATGTAACCTTGTTACATTTTTATTATAGGTATAGATAATTACTGTCAAAGGTTACGTCAAAATGATGTAGATAGCAATAATGACGTGTACTTGACGTGTCAAAAAATTAATGCTACGGAAAATCAACCTTGTTGTTAGTTGGCGTAACACGCGAAATTCAACCTTAGGGTGGTAGACCACTTTCTTGGCCGACTGTACTTCGTTGCCAGGTCGTTTACCAGTAACAATGAATTTTAAAATGTTAGAGTCGTTTTTTTCTCCCCCGACACCTTCTGTATACCAAATTTCATAAAATCGTTGGACCCGTTTTCGAGATTGAGATTATTTATATTTATAAGAATTATGCATTTAAAGGTATTAAATTTGATTTGTATATAAATATAAAAAGTAAGCTCGGTGGCGTAGAGGATAAGCGCCGCGGCTCGCGATCGTTGTTGTTAAGCAACTTTCGCAAGGGTCGGTCACGGGATGGGTAAACAAAAATTATTATCTCGAGCTACTTCATGCTTCGGAAGGCACGTTAAGCCGTTGGTCCCGGCTGCTTTTGCAGTCGTTAATACCCTCCAATCCGCATTGGGCCTGCGTGGAGGGTCATGGCCCATCCTCCTTAACCATCCATAAGGAAGGCCTGAGCCCCTGCAGTGGGGACGTAAAAAGGGCTGTAATAAAAAAAATACCATATTTATAATTTTTATTAAAACACTTCATCGTTAAGATTAGGTGAAGGCGGTGTCAATTCATATATTTTTTGAGTATTTATTTCATAATATATTTTTATTTAAAAAATGAATGATATATATACCTACACATTATTATCACTAGAAACAGGGTAACTCTGTAGCTATAAAGTACATACAATCATAGTAAAACAAATTCATTAAAAACAAAGTTTGTGATTTCAAACGCAAAAAGCTTTCAGTTTGGTACTACAAATATGACAACTTTTTTTTCACATATGTATTTCCAAATTAGAATACAAAAGGGACTATGGGTCGCTCGTAGAAGTAACCTTGGTTGTCGATAAAAGGAGGTCGCGTCGTAAAGGGGATTCTCGTGGTTGAAGGAGGTATGTACACTGGTGTCTTAGTGGTATAAGTGAATGCTGTACTGGGCTTCGGGTAATTGTATGTAGTTCTGAATGTGGGTCTAGTTGGTGGCGGGGTAGGGGGAGGTGTTCTAGGAGTGGTCCTAGTCACTGGTGGAAGGTAAGTCGGTGCTGTAGGCGGTGGGGGTCTTCTAGTCGTCGGGTAAGTGAATGGAGAAGGTGGTTTGGGGTAGTCATAGCCCGTCGTTCGTGTTGGTGGTTCATAAGTGGAGTACGTAGGAGGTGGTCGTGTCGTAGGTGGTCTGGTTGGTGGAGAAGGGGGAGGTCTTGTTAGTGGCGGCCTGGTTGGTGGTGGTGGAGGGGGCGGGGGTGGTCTGGTTGGAGGTGGAGGAGGTGGTGGCGGCGGCCTAGTCGGTGATGGGAGTGGCAGGTATGTAGGTGGTGTTTTGAAGGTAGGTGGTCTTGTTGGAGGTGGTGGTGGAGGGGGTGGAGGTCTAGTTGGTGGTGGTGGTGGAGGTGGTGGCGGCCTAGTCGGTGGTGGGGGTGGCAGGTATGAAGGTGGTGTTTTGAAGGTAGGTGGTCTTGTTGGAGGTGGTGGTGGAGGAGGTGGAGGTCTAGTTGGTGGTGGTGGTGGCCTAGTTGGCGGCCTAGTCGATGGTGGGGGTGGAAGGTATGTAGGTGGTGTTTTGAAGGTAGGTGGTCTTGTTGGAAGTGGTGGTGGAGGGGGAGGAGGTTTAGTTGGTGGTGGTGGTGGGGGCCTTGGTGGCCTTGTTGGAGGAGGTGGTGGTAAATATGTGGGAGGTGTTTTTAGAGTCGATAGCCTAGTTGGTGGTGGTGGTGGCGGTGGTTGAGGCCTTGATGGCCTTGTTGGTGGAGGTGGTGGTAAGTATGTTGCAGGTGTTTTTAAAGTCGGAGGCCTAGTCGGTGGCGGTGGAGGTGGAGGTGGTGTTCTCCTAGTAGTAGGGGGACGGTAGGTAGGTGGAGGGTAAGTTCTTTCTGTAGTTGGTGGCGGTCTAGGAGTAGTTCTAGTCACTGGTGGAAGATAAGTCGGTGCTGTATATGGAGGAGGTCTTCTAGTCGTCGAGATGGTGAATGTGGAAGGTGGTTTCTCGTAATAATAACCTACAGTTGGTGGAGGTGGTCTGGTTGGTGGCAGGTATGTAGGTGGTCTTATAGTTGTAGGATAAGTAAAAAGTACTTTAGGAGTGGTATAAGTAGGTTGTGGGGGTCTTGTTGTTGGCGGTGGGGGTCTTGTTGGTGGTGGTGGGGGCGGCGGTGGTCGCGGTCGTTGTTTTGTTGATGGTGAGGATTTAAGTGAAGCCTCCTGGGCTTGTGTACCCAGGTCGGTTACTGCCCGTTTCAGATACATGTGATCATCCTTGTTAAGACTGGCCTTGATCGAGAACCGGAAGACTGGGATGTTTTTGTTCGAATTACTAGGGACCTCTCGAACTGAGCGGTCCGCCTGGCAAATGTGGTAGATCGCCAGGAGGACCACTACAATATGCAATGAAAATCTCTGGAAAGAATTAAAAAGTTGGTTTTAATGTTACACCGTGACTTCAAATAACATATAAAATGTAAAAAAACTGCATTGTTAATAAATAAATAGTTCTGAGATTCTATTCTATTGAACCTATTTAATTTTTTAAACATTTTTGTTAAAAATATTTATCAATATTGCATTGCATACAAAACTGTTAAAATATAAGAATTTGCTTTCTTTCTTGTTCAATTAATATTTTCACATGTTTTGGCTCCAACATAATTTATGTAGACGAAGACGTTTAGCTGCTCTAGTAACTCTTCATTTGGAGTTAACTTCTTGTAATTATAAAATAAAATAAAAAAAAGCCTTTTATTTCCAGATTTACATTAAGAGTAAAGATTATTTGCTGTTATAATTTGTATTTCTATATTTTACTAGAATGAGTTGGTACTTATATCTAATTATATCTATGTACTAATGTTGTTATTCTTATTTTTTTATTATATATACCGGCTGCATTTAAAATGACTCTCCAAATTTTTTCTAGGCATTAGGTATCGTTAATAGATCACATATATGAAAAAAAAACGGTATGTAAAATTTTCAAAATGAAATGTAAACTTATTGCAATTACAAGATAATTATAACATTCGCATTGTCACAATAGTTATGAATAAAACAAGGCAGCAGGGGTAGCAAGGGCGCGGGCGCAGGGGATGTACGCGCATGCGCCAACAACAATGTCTGCTCGGTTTTTTATTTTGTCGGCGCACATCAGTCAGTCGCCCGCGCACAACCCCTTTGAACGCATGCGCTTCCGCCTTTGCTTCCGTGTTGCGCACCGCCCGTCGCAGCGCCACATTTCGCGCGTCGTAATGTATTCCAATCGCGAATATTATGAAATGGTGCAGTGTTACATACATGGTGATCAACGTGACGCGGAGGCCCCATCGTGGGGCCTGCGCGATCGCCGGACCTACCACAGTGTGACTTTTATTTGTGGGGCGAAATTAAAAGACGTGTGTATGTTGAGGAAGCACAAAGCCTCGAGGACTTAAAAGTGCAAATCAGAGCGGCATTTTACCAAGTGAAAAATGACACGGTAGTGCTCGCAAAATTAAAAGACAATGTGCAGAAAAGGTGCAAGACTCTGTTTGGAGAGGAACGGTATGTACTTTGAACAATTATTAAAGTATACGTAGGTAAATAGTTAAAGTAGGTAGGTAAATTGATTAGTTGATTATGTACATAAAGTTGATGATTTTTTAAATACGCCTGATTGCAAAAGAATAGCGAGTTAAGTACCTACTTTGAATTGGTTTAACTAAACAGAATTTTAGGTAACTCGATATTTACTTACCTACTTACTTTATAAATTTAAAGCAGTATAGCTATTGTAATAGTAGGTATCTAATAGGATTTATGCAATTTGACGGTCCTAAGCCCGTAAAAGTATGAAGAGGTTTCAACTTTATTTATCATTTCCCCAAGCATGACAAAACGAAAACATTTTAGGTAGCTGCTATTATTACTATCAATGAATTGCGGCAAGGGAGGGAGGGGTAAGTGTAACGTAGCGCGTAAAGCGCACGTACTGGGCAGCGAGAGCGTCCACAAATGTAGGTTTTTTGAAAATAACTTGGTGACGATATAACTCAACATTTTTGTTCTAAACGACATAAAAAGAAAAAACACGTATTTCATTATTTGTCGTAAAGATTAACATACTCCAATTTGGAGAGTGGTTTTAATTGGTTTTAATTTATCTATGTACTAATGTTGTTATTATTTATTCTATTTTCTTATTATTACTGGACCCCTCTCAGGTAAAGGCCTCCTCCAAAGTTTTCCATTTTTCTCGATCTTGGGCTATTTGTTGCCATTATGGACCTGCTATTTTTTTCAGATCATCATCCCATCTAACGAGTGGTCTGCCTCGACAGCGTTTACCAGGTGGGCCTTTCCATGAAGTAACCGTTTTAGTCCATCTCTGATCTTCGAAACGTGCTATATGACCCGCCCATTTCCATTTTAGCTTTAGACTATGGTTAAGAGCATCTATTGCTTTTGTTTTAGACCTTATTTTAGTGTGTTTATTTTAATACTTAACATACTGCGCTCCATTCCTCGCTGGCATGTAAATATTTTATTTTTTATTTTATTGGTGAATTTCCAGGTTTGGCACGCGTACGTCAGGCAGAGGATCAGGCAAGAATCCATGACCTTCTTCTTCAGAATGATAGGCATTTCATTTTTAAATATCTCCTTGTAGCTCCAATACTTATTCCATGTCTGTCTGACTCTTCTCTCCACTTCTAATTCATTACTATCTTTTTGGAATCCAATTTATTTTCCTAAATATATATATTGGTTTACATATTCCAGTGAGACGTTTTCTATTGTTATTTTTGATTTTATGTGGTTCGTCATGACTTTGGTCTTGGTTATATTCATTTCTAAGCCCACTTGTCTACTTGCTACATGTAGATAATTTAACATGTATTGTAGTTGTCTGGTGGATTCTGATAACAAAACCAGGTCGTCTGCAAACCTCAAACTTCTTGTTAATTAAGGTATTTAAATTCTCTTTACACGTTTCTACCGTACGTTTTCTACCGTATAAAGTTATGAAATCGACGTAAACGAAGTCGATTAACCGCCGGTTTCAATATCTAAAAAACAAGAACTGATTCTTGCTACCATGCGTAGCATTTCTTACCGATGGTAACTAAAAAGTGTTTAACGTAAAGCTACCGTTTGTAGGCAAAATGTATGAAAAGCGCAAAAAGGTGTTTCGATAAAAAAAAATCAACTTAACTTACTATCCGTAGCTTATTTGTCAAATTTTTATACCGGCCATTTCCCGTCGGTTATCGTATAAATATTTGAAAATTAAACGTTTTCCTTTGTTAATTAATAGAGAAGTACACGTTTTGGTTAAAAAATAAATATTATAGAAGAGCTGAATGTGTTTCGTGGTTCCAATTGGAAGAATTTAAGTTGTAATCCTGTGAATGTGGGCTCACACAACTAATTAATTATTGCTCCAGGTGCTTTCTACAATATATTTCTGTTGAAACTGAATTTGCTACCTTCTTTTACCAAATTTATACACGTTACATTATTACTTATTATTATACCATTTATTTTTTTATTAATCACTATGATATCAATTAAATTCTTAATTAAACCCAATTTGGATATAAATTTTTAATTTTACAAATAAAAAATAATTTATAATAAACTACACAATTTTTACATTTTTCTTCGTTTGTTTTCAATCAAGTCTTTGTTTTCAATACGATTTGATACAATTATGCTACTCTTTCTAATAACGACCCATTCTTCATCCTATGTCAATGAATCACAATTGTTCGCTTTCTATTTAAATAATTGTAGTCACAAATCACTTATAACAATCAAAAATTCCTAATATATACCTCCTTATAACTCCTTATGAAATTCCCGCTAAGCTTCCACGGAACATATTATATCAAATTTATTTTTTAGCATAAGTAAAAGCAAAGGGATCTAGTACATACAACGTAGCCTAGAGTGATACTATTCACATTGAGGCTCACGTTCGATGTTTCAATGCCTTTGATATTGATACTGAAAGATATTGGAAAATGAGAAGATTCGAAATAATGACCTTTTCGCGTTCTTGTACCTACTAAATTCACAAAACACTGTTCATTCACACCCAACACTATGCACCGTACCATTTGAATGAACTGTGTATTGTTCACTTTTATGTATACTCTGTTTCACCACCAAAAACGTATATAAACAAATTTATGTTATTTCAGGGTGATTACGCCGATTCTCAATTTCTCGAGATTGAAATAAGTCTGCCTGCACTTGTTAAACTGTTTATTGTTAACTTTGAAGTTTTACAATTGAAAAGTATATTTATATAAAAAAAATGGTATTTATGCTGCGGCGACTCAAGGCGCAATGACCCTCTCTCCTCCGCTTCGTACATTACGTTACGTGACGTCACGGTCCGAACACAGGGGTTGAAAATATTTTACAAAAGGTTCTAGTTATGATTTAAAAAATGAAAGCTTATAATTTGTGTATAGGTACTTTTTTTTATGGGATAGGGGGCAGACGAGCAGACGGATCACCTGATGGTAAGTGATTACCGTCGCCCATGGACACCTGCAACACCGGAGGGGCTACAAGCGCGCTGCCGGCCTTAGAGGGAAGGGTTGAGGGGTAGAGGGAAGGGAATAGGGAGGGGTTGGGCCTCCGGTACCCTCACTCACACGACGAAAGACAACGCAAGCGTTGCTTCACGTCGGTTTTCTGTGAGGCCCTACTATCACTCCGATCGAACTGGCCCATTCATGCCGAAGCGTGGCTCTCCCACGGTACTGTTCATTTTTACAAACTTAAAAAAGGGGGAGGTTTCTGTTTCAAGTATAATCCTATTTAACAATGTGAGGATAAAAATAAAAGATTTGAGATATTAACAACTTGCTTTTATCCATTACTAAATCAAAATTATTTATACAGTCTAGGCTGTTTCAAGCACTTATGAATGTCGAGAGCTACGCCATCGGTTCGTAAATCTACGGCGGGAGACCTTGTACCGAGAAGAACCTGCAAGAAACTCGGCAAGGCCTGATTTTTTCTCCACGTTTTATTTCACACAGAGCGTCAAGATTAAAAAATGATTTCATTCAAATATGAATCATATTACAAATTACAAAATATAAGAGTAAAACAGTATTTTCGTCAATCGAATCACATGTGTAGTCAATGAAGCTCACCGATAAATAATTTAATATACATGAAAAATGAGCTATATTTGACACCAAGCAGTTTTATCGTTAAAATATTCATTGACAGAATAAAATCCTTTACTGAGTAGACAATTCTAAATATGGGTTTTAAACTCCGGCAATGGTTTTAACATTTCCATAGTAATTTGGTTTGCATATGAATTATACTTCGTCCGCATTGTACAGGTACTTTGTGCAACATTTCCAAAAATTTTAAAACAAATATTTATTCATTAAATCGTTTAAAATACCTGTATATAAAGTTTCATGATTTTATCTTAAACAATAACTAACTTCCATACAAACTTTAATTCCTTATTTCAACCTTTTATCACAATAAAAAAGTAACCAATGTCCTATCGCAAGTCAACTCAGTTTAGTATTTTAGGCGTGAGAGCGTAGTAGATATAAGTATACACAGTTTAACTATTGCATGTATTATATATTATTAATATAGAATAATTGAGCGACGATCCTTGTCTTGCCATAAATATTGTTACACAGAAGATCAACATTTTTTTAATGAACTTAACATTTATTAGTATTGCAGTGTGTTGGTTTAGTACATTAATATAAAGCCATTAAAATATATATATATAGCATATTTGAAGTGGTATACATTGGCTGCAAAACAGTCCTTCAACAAATAGACGAAAGCACGCTTTCGGTGGGAAAATTCATAATTTTAAGGAACTTCAAGATATCATGGCGTAAACGTACTAAAGAGCAAGCGTTACTCTCTGAAACTGACTATAAATCATAATTCAGCGGATTAAGATGTAGAGCGATTCCACAAAAATCCAAATTCGAAATCAAATTCATTCAGGTGACCGAACTCACTTCGAAAGCGAATCCGCGAATATTTGAGGTATATATAAATCCAACTTGATTTTTATTTTTAAACAAAAAACGGCATCTATGGTGTATTCTACACAAATGTATCTCAGTGAAATAGTATAATCTACATTATTAATTATAAAATCTTGAAAAACATTAAAGAAAAAAATAGGGATGATGACTGGGTAAAAATTTAGTCCGTCTATTTACTCCGTCAGTCAGATAATATAATAATATTAGATACGTATTCTTTTGTTTCAATTTAAATACGAAATGGCTAAGATAATAGGCATTAATGTAAAGGATTGGAGGCTTGCTACGTCACAGTTTTGTAGAAAATATACAAAAACGTGACGTCATTTGACATTTCAACTCAATTTCTCGCCGTAATTTAGTGAGTACGCAAAAAATAAAAATATACGTATTTAATATTCTTCATTGTTCTACCTGACGGACAAATAAACAAATATAAGTGGTCATCCCAATTGTCGAATACCATGACGGCAATGCCACTTGTCGGAAATGAAAATTGTGGCTGCGTTGAAATATATTTTGTTGTTGTTTCGTCGATGTTGTATTTATGGTGAAGAGTCAAATCAGGAGTGCGATTTAATTTTGTTCCCAAAAATATTTACGTTTCTAGTTAAGTTTTCTTGATTTATCGCAAGGAATAAACTCAGACTTTTGCACCTAAAAAAGCAATGACTTGACGTACCTTCCGAAGCACGGAGGACCTTTAATTTTTGGTCACCCATCCTATGATCGATCCTTATGAAAATTGCTTAACATACGTAGCGCCGACAAAAATACAATAGTAAGTATGCTAAATCTTTCATGCTTTATTTCTAATAGATACCTTATCTCATAGGTCATTCTCATAGGTAGAACTATCTTTTTGCATTGCCTTGATCACTATTACAATTCACCTTGGAAATGCAACAATAAACGTCGTTTTGTCTAACGTTTTAATTAATTATTCATATCTGCCTCACTCTTTATTATGGATAAAACCTTCGAACGGGTTCAAAATATCATAAGGCACAAGAGGTCATCAAGAAACATAAACTTGACATTCTTAATATAATTTGTTAAATATTTTAAGTTCATTTCAAACACAGAATACGACTTTCTATAATTAACTGGTATTCTTTTAATAAACAAAAAAGAAAAATAAGAAACGTATTTGTAACGCCAAAGGAAAGTATATAACATATTTTCCCGTAATTCTGAATATTCCGTCCACTGCATATTATAAGCAGTGGACGAAAAAGACTCTTAACAGACTTCTGTAAAGAGAAAAATCTAATTGGCGATTCTTTAATCTTTAATCTGAAATTAATTTCACTTATGGGAGTGAAGTAGATTTATGAATAAAAATAGCTCAATCAAAGAAGCAGCTCTTAAGCAAACTAACTGAAAATCGGTCAACAATTCTTGAAAAAATCAGTAAACATAAATAAAATAAAAAAATACATCGTCGACATCGATAACCTCCTATTTCCGGTTCCGTGGTTAGTTTAAAGTTGAACTAATTAATGAAAGACATAATATAAATCATTGAACGACATGTCGTCAAAGCAAACAAAGTCGCATTTTGCTTTGCTATGATTATGTTAAGAGCCCTATGACCTGTCGACTATGACGTAAAATAGCTTGTGCGTAAAGTAGTTAATTTAATCATTCTCGATATCTAATCTAGATTTTGACATCGAGAACGATTAAATTATAAAAAATATATTGATATTTTTTACTTATAAAATATTGTTAAATAACTATTATAGTTCGCAGCGCCTTCGTTTTATCTAAATTGTGTTTAACTTTTTAATTAATTACCAAATTGCTAAAAATCATTTTCGTAAAATACGCAATGGTACTTTTTACGTAAACAAATGAAGTAAAAAAAAACAGAAGTATAATACGACCATTCCTAATTTTTACTTATTACTTCAACTTACATTTAATTTCAACTTATATTAACTGTTATGTATTTTTCCTGGTGTACAAAAAAGTGTGCATTAATTCAATAATTATTACTTCATAAAGAATAAAGATTTCATGATTTTTAAGCAAAACTTTAATATGAAATTTCTATAAAAAACGATAAACATAATAAAATTATCACAAAAGAGACGCATCGGCCGACCGAGCTTTATTTGCTCGGCCTAAACCTAACATAAAAAGATAAACTTTTCTATCTAGTCTCGCGTGTCGCGGGTGTTGCGGTACTGACCAATAACAATACATGTGATGTTCTTATTTTTTTTAAAAATGCAGTCTTACTGCATATTGTAGTAAAGTATAATTGAATGGTTTAACTCTAACGTAGGTGATGTATGTTTAGGAGGACCGAAATAAAACATACATTCATGTAATATAGAGCAATGTGGAGACCTGTTGTAGACACTGATAATAATAAACTATAAAAAAGCGAAAACAATATTTTTATCAAAAAAGTTAATTTAAAAATTAATTCTAATGTAGATTGGTCGCCAATGCTAACTACTAGTCATAAAATTCAGTATTTAAATTGTCGCAAACATCTAGTACGACGATATCAACAAATAATGAAATTATTGAAAATACTAACTAGAGATAAACAGTAATTCCAGGAAAGTAATAAAAGTTAATCGGTTTTAACTACACAAGACTAATATACGTCGTTAACTAACCGAAGTGCCCCTCGGATGTCCTATTATTTCCTACGAGTTATAACAAATTAAAGTACCGCACATTTTGTCTAGGTTTACTGTACTCACCATATTGGAGTTATTAACACAAAAGCCTCTTCTTTCTCATGACGCCACTCGGGTCGTGCGCCTCGGAGCGACCGAAAATCTATTATGACTAACTCTGCACATCAACTATATATGTATGCTGAATTGAAGGTTTCTGAAATCCAATAAATATCATCATATATGTTAAATTTAAACGTCTTCCGTCAATGGCTTTGTGAGATTCCTTCGCCGGATTTTGGATGTTGATATCATTAATTTAATTTTAATTTAATAATTTAATTTTAATGATCTTTATTTTATTTTCTTCTACATTTTGAGCAACAAATGTGTACAACATAAAAATACAGCAAGTTTATGTAGAAGACAGGAGTCCAAACTAGGTAGACCTCGTTCTATGGCACTCCTGGCCTTCACCTCTCGAATTAATAACCACAATGCCACTTTTAAAGAAAATGTTTCAATACAATGAAAAGCAAAAAAAGTATCACATCAAGTGTTATATACGTTGAGACCGTATGCAAGCGATAACACTCGAACACCAATAGTATTATGTGGCAAGAGTAAAATATGTCTTACACTAAATATCTTGACTTGATTTAATGTCTTTGGATAACGTAAATGGTTAGTTGGCAGTTTTTTTTTCGAAACAATAAACCGAATCCTTGCAAACTTTTCCGTCCCCCAATTAACACCCACACCCTCTAAGTAATAAAACTAATGTATCCTCCTCGAGCCTCTACGCCCTGCGGTTTAAGCTGTGCGTTCTATTATTCTGTATGCCAGGACAAAATATGAGATTGAACTTTATTGTACACACAAGCATCTAACAAAAGGTGGATAGTGATAAAAGCATTCTCTCCCAGTCAACCTTTGGGAAAATGACAAACGCGATGGCGGTACAGTACAATGAAAATAATTAATTTAATGTAAAGTAAGTGATTTAAATAAAAATACAACAATAATAATAAACATATTACAAAATTACTGAGACCCCGGTTTCAATTTATCAAATCCGGGACAATTCTACAAAAAAAAATGTTGGCTCGTGGTTATAATAGAGAATATCTTAAATATATATTTTTTCGTATTTGTATTTAAAAGGAAAAATGCCATTTATTTTCAAACACATACTTTTATTAGATATAGGTATGTACTAAGTAGATAATTAATTGAGATGAAACACTGTGGTAGTAAATCACACGTTAAACTAATTGAGCACTTCGCTTAAATTACCAATTTTAAACTTTGGTAGACAATGAATACTAAATGACAAATTAAATGGTAATAAACTGGAGAAAAAAAAACTATGATAATAAGATAATAAGACAATAAATTCCTAACTTATAAAAAACAATCAGTACTTGACTGTTAGTAACAAAAAAAATTTTAGTACATAAAATAAACTTAAAAAAGCTATTGCAGGCACACCTCTCCCGCGCCCGCGCGCCTCCCGCAGCCGCTCACCGGCAGCCGTGTCATTCGTTGCTAGTTTATTTTGTAAAAAAATCATAAGTTTCCAGAATCTGGGACAATAAGCGCTAATTACTGGACACGGGATAAGTGACAAGATTCCGGGACAATCCCGGATTTCCCGGCGGTCTGGCAAGCCTAGGTCGGGTCAATGTAGAAAATGAACTTTTCTATATTGTCTAAGGTCTGGTGGTGTAGCTTTAATTACACATCTTGGAATCTGAGCAATGTCAATCTGATTTTGTTCAATATTCATTTATTTACCTTTAGTTCATGCTATTGATAAAGATGACGGAATTTCTGAGAACCATTCAAAAAGTATTATGCTATTGTTTTCGTTGTTACGTCTACGTAGCATTATTGCTTTTGGATTTCATTGTCACCATTTGTTCATAGATGGCACTGTTAACACACACACACACATAACAGAAAAGTTTATTTATTTATAAAGTATATATACTACTAGCTGTTCCCCTGGCTTCGCCTGCATACATTTTTACCTATATTCCTAATGATGTAACTTTCCGTAGGTGAAAGATTTTTTAAAAATCGGTGTAGCCCATTTGATGCAAACAAAATAATCATATATTTCCAATTTATATAAAAAGAGCAAAGTCAAAGTCAACGAAGACAACGCCTGAACGTGGTTTTCCTTCTGGCCGATAAGAAGAGCGAGCAAGAAAATCACCAGCTCTAATGCAAGTAACGATATTCAAAAAATGCATGTTTACCCATTGATCTGGATTGTAAATATAAGAAATCACTTTACATTTCAATGTTAACATCATATAAAAAAACTAAAACAGATAACTTTTTTTTTATGGGATAGGGGGCAGACGAGCAGACGGATCACCTGATGGTAAGTGATTACCGTCGCCCATAGACACCTGCAACACCAGAGGGGCTACAAGTGCGCTGCCGGCCTTGGAGGGAAGGGTTGAGGGGTAGAGGGAAGGGAATAGGGAGGGTTTGGGCCTCCGGTACCCTCACTCACACGACGAAACACAACGCAAGCGTTGCTTCACGTCGGTTTTCTGTGAGGCCATGGTATCACTCTGGTCGAGCCGGCCCATTCATGCCGAAGCGTGGCTCTCCCACGGTCAAAAACTGAGAGTGAGAGTAACTGAGACGCTTCTAATAATATCTGATGTATCTAGTTATGGTGAGTAGTTTCGCAGTTATAAGGGAACAGATGAACATACATACGTACCGGCCAAAATCATAACTCGCTTTTTAGCTTCGCCGTAGTCTGGTAAAAAACTATAATCTCACAATATTAACATAACAGGCAAAACGATAATTTTGTGATATGATGAGTGTAGAAGAAACCACCTTTCTAATTGCTGGAATATCTTAAGTTTCTGCATTTTTGATGTAATATAATTATTAGATACCTTATGATAAGCCTTTTTAATAGTAGATTTAAACTTATTTAATAAAATGTTATTTTTTCTTTGGGACTTTATAGTAGAAGTACCTATACTATAGTATACTGAATATATTAGCTTTTTACAGTCTAGTGATAGGCAATGCTAACTTCGGAGATGTACAGTTGCGCATCTCCGGTCTCTAGTCTGGGGCAGCTGACCAGTTCGCGCGCTGGTCGGCATTGCACACTTCCGCCTCGTCTGCAGGGTGCGTCTCGTATGTCTCTGAGGCGTACTCCTAACCCGCGAGGGACCTGCTCTTTTCAGGGCGGACCGAAATGGAGGCGAACCGCGCGGTGTATGGCCTCCGGGCCGATCAGGTGCATCGCCTTCCATACGAGGGACATCGCTGAGTTTTAGTGAGTAAACTCCTGCTTCTTGTCTTGTCTTGTCAAAAAGAAAATGGCAATGCTAACTGAGTTTTATTTCTAGAAAATTAATATTTTTAGGAACTTAAGTACATTAAATTATCATATTCTTAGAAACCAGTAGTGAATTTAATAAAAAAATATAACGAAACGCATGGTTAATTTATTATTTTTAAAAGTAAAATCATAATGGTAATACAAACGGTTACTTAAAAATAAACAGTAAAATTACAAGCTAACTGAAATCAATAATTAACAATTAACGAAACAAAAATAACAGAGATTAAGCAAGTTGAGTACACAAACGGACAGAGGTTTCCCTTCTCAAGTGAACACTGCGACAAGAGGCCCGAATGAGCGTGCGCGCGCTTTTATAAGCGACCCCCACCACAAGCTGACATTCCCTCCATGTTACGAGTATTCTGCTAACACGGCCTCTCCTGACTGGAGGACGTCCTCGTTCTCCTGTATATCAGGCGGCAGAACTTCAATCACACTGGAAGTACTAGGTATGGGTTCTGGTGCTGCTGACATATCACTGCTAGTGCTCCTGGCGGCGTGATCGAGTGTGTGGTCAAGATCGTTACTGTTTTCGGCGTCTGAAAATATAACACAAGTTATATGACCTTTCGTAAGTAAACACAATGATAACAGGGAACCATAGGCACAACGTTAGCGTAGTTCATTCAAAGTTAGCCAGAGAGGAAGCACTACGTTTGCTATTTCTGCTTATAACGACTACATGACATAGGCACGACGTTAGCGTATCACGAGTTTCTTCACGTGTATATAACATAGGCACAACGTTAGCATATTAAATTCACGTGTAACACACACAAGATTTCTCACATGACATAGGCACGACGTTAGCATAACATGGGGCACTTACAATTATATGACATAGGCACGACGTTTGCATATCATATAATGTAGAAACAACTTAGGTACCTTCAAAAAAAATAGCGCACGTTTCTGGAGTCCACTCCCCTCGCCACGGCACCATGAATTCTGCAGCCGCTTGTGTCGATTTTCCGTAGGAGTTTGCCAGCAGCCGTAGTTCATATCGACCTTGGGGAAGCGCTTTGACGACGCGATATGGTCCGCGCATACCCGAGTCGAGCTTGCCAGTTGCTTGTGCTTGTTTTATGACAAAAACAAGTGAATCGACTTCAAATGTTCGTGGCGGTCTCCGGTTAGCGTTTACCGTTTCATCTTGGTGATTCTGATTTGCTTTCAATCGTTGAGAGGCACGTTGTCTACGCATCTCTCGTAACGCCTCGCGATTTGGGTGCAATTCCTCTAAAGTAATGTCTCGAATGAGACTACGTATCACAGGCGTGGACACTTCAGTTCCCACGAGTAAATTAATTGGTGACGCGCCAGTTGTTCTCTGTTTGGTCATATTCAGCACCAGTTGTAATCGCCACATAACATCTGACCATTCATTCTGCCGGTGGTTACATTCTATACGAACCATATTCAGCAAGGTCCGGCAGTAACGCTCAACTTGTCCGTTCGAGTGATGCATCTCAGGTGTTATAAGGTGCAAGTCAACGCCCAACTCTGTTACAAACTTTGAGAACTCTAAACTCTGAAACATACGACCACGGTCAGCAACAATCAACTTAGGAGATCCAAATAAAGATATTACATTGTAGAAAAGTTTCTTTAATTCATTAGCATCTTGACCAAACATTGGATACAATAAGCAATATTTTGAGAAGGCATCAATAACAATTAGTACATGTTTATAACCATTTGATTGAGGTAATGGACCTAATGCATCTGCATGTACTACTTCGAACGGATTAGATGGCTTTTCCCACGAGTGTATGAATT